CACACACACACACACACACACACACACACACACACACACACGTGCACAAACACACACGTGCACAAACACACACACACACACACACAATTAAGACAACAGCTCTCACCCTCAGTCTCTTCTCTCCTGTGTCCTATCAGCGTATCGCTGTCCCGGCCCTGTCATCGATGGTTTGAAATGTGTGTATAACTCATTTAGCGAGCCTGCGCTTTGCAACTAATAGAAAATTGAATCACAAGCCGGCCTTCTTCCTCCACCACACCAGAGACCTGATTAACAGCCCCTTGAGATCATATGTAAAGTCAGATGAGACATACATTTGCTAAAAAAATGATCTATTAGGTTAAACCTTGTTTTAATCCAAAAATATTTTTCTCAACATTTCTGCAAAATGGCCTCCTTAGTTCTCATTTCCATGGTAACACATGTTTCCTTGCTTTCCTTTTAACATTGAAAGCTCTACTTTTATTCTTAAAAGTAAAGTTGCATTGTGATCCCATCAGGACTTAAAATAAATAAAAAAAGAATGCAGATAGCATCGGAGCCTGAGGTGGCATGAATCATGATGTTTGATGCATTTTCTTAAACAATTATTATAAATCATGGAAGACAAGACTGACTGGGAGGACGCCATTTTAAATAACTAAGCAGCAAATGTTGCATCCTGGTTCTCTGTGTGTGGAGCTAATTGAAGCTATGAGTCAGGACCTTTGAGGCCTGGAGCTATGCTTCCTCAGGCATCAGGACATGCATTACATTATTAGAAAAAGAAAACCGTGGCTGTATTTGGTCTTTATGCATCTTAATGACACATATTCTTTCTTTTCTTTCTCATAACATTCTCTTGCCTGCAAGCTTGTTGAATCTGTTTTGTATTTGAGGGCCAGAGAATAGAAAAATGCATCTGATCTCTTTTCCTGTCTATTTTGCATTTTGGGTGATTGGCGTTGTTCTTTTCTCTCTGTGATGGCTTTGGTGAGCAAATTACTGCTGCTTCTTCGATCCATTATTTGAGCTCTCTCTTCTTTTCTTTTGTACTCCTCTCTGTCGTTCCCCCTATTTTTTATTCTTTTATCCATTTTGTTCCTCTCAATCCCCGATGTCTCTCCTTAATTACCCGGAGTCTGCTTCTACCTTCCCTCCTTCTGTCCTTCCTTCTGTCCTTCTGTCCTACCTTGCTTTCTTCCATGCAACGCCTCTCTCTCTGGCAGACCTGTGCGATTACAAGAACTTTGTGAATAATCGCCAGGCTGTCAATCAAAGGGGTGATCTCTCCACAGTGAACCACGCCATGACAGGAATGAGCCCGTCTCCCTCGCTCTCAGCGCTGTCCAGTCGCGCCGGTTCCATCAGCAATCTTCACGACCGCATCTTCAGTCCGGCCAGCGAAGAGACCATTGAGAGGCTCAAGGTAGGAGAGAGGACAGCGAAATTATTTACAAAAATCCAGAGAAGCAGCAATGAAATCTGGTGTGAAGGCAAATTTGTTAGTCTGGATACATTTCATCTGTCTCAATTTTACCACCAGGAAACAGAGAAAATTATTGCTGAGCTCAACGAGACGTGGGAGGAGAAGCTGCGTCGCACTGAGGCCATCCGCATGGAGAGGTCAGTCCAAAATATTCATGCAGTGTTTTACAGCTTTTTCAAATGTCAGCACTCATACATTCATCCTGCTCATGACCATTGCATTCGGAACAGTCCCATCACCCACCCGCATTTAGGTCTGCTCCATCTTCGCTAAAATAAATGTACTAAATGGGATAGTTTGACCCCTGAGCTGAAATTGGACGTAGCGTTTTCAAAAGTTATCTTTGATTTTTCGATTGCTGGGCTGCTTGAACAACACCATATGCCATATTTGCAGTCGTGCAAGCGACAAGAATCTATAGGCATATTATTGTTTTTCAGCTATTAGATGGGTAGCAATGCTCAACAGAAGGAATTCTGAAAATGTCTGAAAGAGTGAGCAACATGATAAAATCCAACAGATGAAGTCCGACATTTATTTGAAAGGGCTGCCCCCTGCTGTTCATATTTAGTAACAGCAACAATTCTTCCTTTAACAAAACAGTCACTGTATTGATAAAATACAGGCTTACATTTAATCTGATAAGACATTTAACCTGCATGAAACAGTATCAAGAATCATCAGATGTTTAATCTAAACAATATTGCAAATTTGCAAATTCTTTTCAACTAAAAACATATTGTCCTAAATAAAATCGCTCCCTGTAGAGAGGCCCTGCTGGCTGAGATGGGTGTTGCCATGAGAGAAGACGGAGGCACTGTGGGTGTCTTCTCCCCAAAAAAGGTGAGGTGCTCATCACTTTTCAATATAATAGTTTGTCTGATCTCAAACAAACATTTAAAAATAATGATCATGACTTCCACCTTCAGACCCCTCATCTGGTGAACCTGAACGAGGACCCGCTGATGTCCGAGTGTCTGCTCTATTACATCAAAGACGGCATCACCAAGTAAGGTTTTTACATATTTTCAGTCCAAACCATAGACTGTATATAAAGATGGACAACATGACTGCTACCCAAAACAGAAGCCAAAGCGTCTCAATCGCCATCTGGTGGCTGGCTGCAGTATAGGTTGAACCCCATTTTTCTACATTATCTGTCATTGTAGATAATTCTTATCACACTGAAGGGTTCATTCGTCTGGTAGTTTTTTGGCTCTGATTAGTTATTTAATGACATAAAAAGAAAGTGAAACAAGCTGAGACTGACTCCTGATTGGTCGAGCGCAGACTCTTTGTAAGAAGGCGCCATTTGCAACCGTGGTGTTTTGTGATCCAGATGTGGTGCTGTGTTTTTCGGGGATTAGTCTAAATTTTATCATCGTGTCTTCTCGCAGGGTTGGTCGAGAAAATGCCAAAGCTCGTCAAGACATCGTTCTCAGTGGCCATTTCATCAGAGACGAACACTGCACCTTCAGCAGCACCACAAGCCCTCAGGGTGAAGGTAAACAACTCGCTCCTTTCTCTGCCATTATCAAATTACAATGTTCTAGTGTGTGTTGCATGTATTTGAGATATAATTTATTTTTCTAGGATGTGTTATCCTTGAGCCATGTGAGGGGACGGAGACGTATGTCAATGGGAAGAGAGTGTCCTCCCCCATCGTTCTGCGATCTGGTGAGTGTCTATTTTTCTAAATGAGGTGGAAAACGAAGTAATTGCCCAGAGAACAATACATATAGAAAAGTATGTAAAGTGAGGACAAGAGAAGTCTGAGTTTCTTTGACTTAAAATTATTTTTTTAATGGCAAAGCAGAAATGCCAGCTTTCTAATTACTGTGTAACATCATCATAGAGTAGACCACTTAGACTTTTTTTTTTCTTTAACTTTTTAGGAAATCGCATTATCATGGGGAAGAGCCATGTGTTTCGCTTCAACGACCCGGAGCAGGCTCGTCTGGAGCGAGAGAGGACGCCGTGTGCTGAGACGCCAGTGGAGCCCGTCGACTGGGCCTTCGCTCAGAGAGAGCTGCTGGAGAAACAAGGCATCGACATGAAGCAAGAGATGGAGCAGAGGTGGGTGTGAAGAACTGTGAATTATGTTCACAACAATGAATGTTTTCAAGTTCCACTATTCTTTGCTTAAATGTGATTGTATATCTTTGCTTTTAGGCTTCAGGAACTTGAGGACCAGTATCGTAAAGAAAGGGAGGAGGCCAGTAACCTACTGGAACAGCAAAGACTGGTGAGAAAAAAGCTTTAAAGTTTAATTTACACTTGCCCTTAAATTCATCCTGTTCCTGATCTGCAACATGCGTTTTCTTTCAGGACTATGAGAGTAAACTGGAGGCTCTTCAGAAACAGGTGGATTCTCGGTGCCTGGAGTCACCTGAGGAAGAGGAGGAGCCTGAAGAGGAAGGTGATACCGTCACTTTCAATTCTGACATCCAACACAAGTCAGGCTTTTGTTTGGTCACATCTGATTCTTATATCAACTCCCTTGCCTCCCCAGTGCCGTGGACGAAGCGTGAGACGGAGCTGGCTCTGTGGGCGTTCAGAAAGTGGCGTTTCTACCAGTTCACCTCTCTCAGGGATCTGCTGTGGGGCAATGCCATCTTCCTCAAGGAGGCCAATGCGATCAGTGTGGAACTGAAGAAGAAGGTGCGACATTAGAAAACATTACTCAGTGCTGTGACACAGATGTGTGATTTTTTTCAACATTCTCCTTTTTCATTGATCTTGATGAAAAAAACAAGCGTGTTTGAGAGAGTTGAGACCCAGTTGGATGTAAACAAGCGGGCACTCATGTTTGACATCCTTGTGTCCACAGGTGCAGTTCCAGTTTGTCCTGTTGACGGACACTCTCTACTCTCCGCTACCGCCTGACCTGCTGCCCCCCTGTGTGGCCAAGGAAAGAGAAAGACGACCTTTCCCCCAGACCATCGTAGCCGTGGAAGTCCAGGATCAGAAGAACGGAGCCACGCATTACTGGACTCTGGAGAAACTCAGGTAAATGCTCAAAGCTGATCACACCCTCAATATTTTATTGATCCATAATAATAAATGTTATCTAGTAAAGAATGTGCTTTTGGTTTGGTTTGAACTCAGCAGAGCCATTCATTCATATCAGCTGCTGTTGTTGTGTCCTGGTTTGTTTATGTGTTTTTGTTTATTTCACCCTCTGCAGGCAGAGACTGGACCTAATGAGAGAAATGTACGACCGTGCTGCAGAGCTCCCCAGCAGTGCTGTGGAGGACTGCGACCACACCCTGACCGGAGGCGATCCGTTCTACGACCGCTTCCCCTGGTTCCGTCTTGTCGGCAGGTCAGAACTGAAGAGAGACAATATTAATCGCATTTCATGCACACTAAACATCTTGGTAAATGTGAAATCTCATCCCCTCCCTCGCTTCTTCTCCTCAGGGCTTTTGTGTACCTGAGTAACCTGCTGTACCCGGTGCCCCTGGTACACCGCGTGGCCATCGTCAGCGAGAAAGGAGAAGTGAAAGGCTTCCTCCGAGTGGCTGTGCAGGCAATATCAGGTACAAACATCAAGGTCGAGTGTTTATAGCTGTTTTTGTTCTAGACGCTTTCTTTCATTTGAAATGACTGTACATCGCTGTGTTATAACACTGTGTCCTCTGCTTTGTCTTTCTTCAGCCGATGAGGAGGCCCCTGATTACGGCTCTGGTGTGAGGCAGTCAGGCACTGCCAAGATCTCCTTCGAAGATAAACATTTTGAGAAGGTACATGCAGGTCACTCCTAATGGTTTTTAGGTGTCCTATGAACCCAAAAGGAAAGATTTGGGAAAATAAAGTTGTTTGCCTGTGTTTTAGTTCCAGACTGAGTCGTGTCCTGGTACTCTGTCGCACTCCAACACCTCCCAAGAGGAGCTGAGAATCGTGGAGGGAGAAGGACAAAGCGCTGAGATTGGATTCTCTGCAGATGAAGTCAACAACAACACATGTGCAGGTGAGAGTAGATCTGTGCACGGACTGTAAGTTAAGTCAGTCCGTCGAACTGCGGTTTGGATTTGAGCAGACGAGAAATACTGTACTTGTAAATTTGTGGTGAAAAAAAGAAAATTATCTGACACAGCTCCAGAGTGAAACTGTCTGTCTGTCCCTGTCTCATGTAGCCATTGTGGAGCCTCCCAGCAGCCCAGCGAAGAGTTTAAGTCTAGATCTCCCCCTAGACCTCTCCCCAGAGATTGCTCTGTCCCACTTGAAGATCGGCAGCACCTTCACCTTCAGAGTCACCGTCTTACAGGCCTCCAGCATCTCAGCCGAGTATGCTGACATCTTCTGCCAGTTCAAGTGAGTGAACAGCAGCACTTCAGACTGCCAGTCATGACCAAAGAGAATCACACTGTTGGTCCCATGAAGTTTTAACAGTTGTTGATCAATAAAGAATCAATAGTACACATCCTTATCAAATATTAAAAATGGTCTCCACATTTCAATTCACTAGATCCAGACTTTTATGAGGATCTGCACCACATTTCACACACTGATCAATATCTTTCCCCTTAACATCCCCTGATTTGACAAGATCCAAATATTCTCAAAAGAAAGTGAAAAGAAAGTTGCTGGGTCAGTGCCCTTATCTGGAGCTGCTCCAAAATGTAATGGCTTCTTTCTTGACTCATGCCACCAAGTTTCATGGTAATCCATTAAGTAGAGTTGTTATAAAGTCGTCTCTTGTTTCAGTTTCATCCACCGTCATGATGAAGCTTTCTCCACTGAACCGTTGAAGAACACCGGCAGAGGACCTCCGCTGGGCTTCTACCATGTCCAAAATGTGAGCACTACTTCAATTATTACCAAATATTAGTGGATACAACTACTGCAATATGTTTTTCTTATCCTGTATTTACTGTCATAGCTGTCTGAAGTGTTGTAGTGACGTTTCATTTCTTCTTTCCTCTGTCAGATCACAGTGGAGGTGACTAAGTCCTTTGTGGAGTATATTAAGACTCAGCCCATCGTCTTCGAGGTGTTTGGTCACTACCAGAAACAACCCTTCCCTCCGCTCTGCAAAGACTTGATCAGGTCAGGGAGAAATCTGAACTGTCATTTCTGACAGCTGATGGCTGGTGTGTGTTAGTCGATCTCTTTGAGATGGGACCCTCAAGTTCCCTCACGTTTCTGTTTCCTTGTCTTGTCTCTTAGTCCGCTCAGACCCTCCAGGAGGCAGTTCCCCAGGGTGATGCCCTTATCCAAACCAGGTTAGTTTATCAAACATCATTTATTTGTGATGTGTCATTTATTTCACTTATGTTGAAATTCCTTCCCCTTGAACTATTGGCAGTATCGGCTCAGTGTGGTTTGAACCGTCACACATTAATCTGTTCTCTGTTCACTCGTCAGTTCCGGCCACCAAGCTCAGCACTTTGACTCGCTCCACTGCGGGACCGTGTCACGCCAAATACGACCTCATGGCCTTCTTTGAGATCTGTGAGCTGGAGGCCAACGGAGAGTGAGTCTTCTTTTGTATCTGTTTAACCACTAAAACCAAGGGACATAGGATAGCAGTTGAGTTGAATACTTATACGTATATAAGACGTATTAATACATATATCTCACTTAAAGTTTTGACTATCAACATGTGTTTGATGTCTATGATCTTTCCTTGTCTCCAGCTACATACCCGCAGTTGTTGACCACAGAGCTGGGATGCCCTGTCACGGCACGTTCCTCTTACATCAGGTCGGACAACCATTCTCTAAATAATGATCATGTTTCCGTAAAGAGACTTCAGAGTGAAAAATGTCAGCAGCCAATATACTTTGAGTAGCTTGGGATCAGTCACTTCAGCTAATTGAGTTCGGTTTGCTTCCTGTCCTCTCTGGACTGCACAGGGCATTCAGAGGAGGATCACAGTCACCATTGCTCACGAAACAGGAAATGATGTCGAGTGGAAAGAGGTGAAAGAGCTGGTCATTGGTGAGTAATGAGGAAAAATTTAAAGTCATTATTTTTTTAAAATATCGTCACTGAACTAATGTCATTGTGACTTACATGATTTCAGGTCGCATTCGGAACACACCAGAGGCTGATGAGACCATCATCGACCCCAACATCCTGTCTCTCAACATCCTGTCGTCCGGATACTTCTGGCCCAAACATGACGACAAGTATGCTATCTATCCATCCATCCATCCATTCATCCATCCATCCATCAATCCATCAGTATCATTTTATACACTGCTTCAGGACTTTTCATACTTTTATTTTGTATTAATACATGCTCATATTTTGCATTGATACATAGTTATATTTGCATGGATCAATATTGTTTTTCTGAGTTTGAACTTTCAACAGTTGCAGATGAAAGTTTCTAACTCCGGCTTTTTCTTCTTATTCTTTGTTAACGGCAGCGTCTCCTTGGGAGTTGATCATAGGTATAATGACGATCATTTTTATCTTTTCAATTTAATGATAACAGGAAATCCCTTTGCTCACATGTTTTTTTTTGTTAGCTTGAATCTTTCTGCTTCAAAAACCATGTAGATCAATGACGACGTTTTTTTTTTCTTTCAGGACGTTTTACCGATTTGAGGCAGCATGGGACAGTTCCATGCACAACTCTCTGCTCCTGAACAGAGTCACTCCGTATGGAGAGAAGATCTACATCACCCTGTCTGCTTATCTGGAGGTAAGGAAATTGCTTTTAACATCAGATGCGTAATGGACCTTGTTACTCACTGGCCCATCCAGCCAACTTGGATCAAAATATATTTTGGGACAAAAAAATATGTAAGAAAATAAATCTAAATCATTTAGATTGAAAAAAGCTATAGGAAGCTTGACCATCAGTACCACCGGCTGAAATCCTGGGGTTTACACTGATTTGAATACATTGATTATTCCTTGTCTCACATAAGTATTGATTCAAACCAAGAGCAGTCAGCAATCAGACACATTTGCCGTATATTTTGACTAGATGGAGAACTGCACTCAGCCGACAGTGATCACCAAAGACTTCTGCATGGTGTTTTACTCCCGCGACGCAAAGCTGCCAGCCTCTCGCTCCATCAGGAACCTCTTCAGCACCGGCTGCCTTCGGCCTTCAGAGAGGTTTGTGCAGTCTGAATCTATAAATATATATTTCATGTTTAAAAAGTTTGATTTTATATTTAAAAATGAATGTTGAAGTTTATCTGGCTATTATCTTTTTTATACACTGTTGAAATGTTTTCCTCCCTCTCCATCCCAGTAACCGTGTCACAGGAGTCTATGAAGTCACTCTGTGCCATGTGGCTGACAATGGAAGTCCAGGTGAGACGGAACTAAAACTAATAACAAAATCTTTCAAATAATCAGGAAATCTCCAATATGACAGATTGTGTTTTGTCGTACTTAAGGTGTTCGTCTTTTCCTTCTCTTCACCAGGCATGCAGCGTCGTCGCAGGCGTGTGCTGGACACCTCGGTGGCGTACGTGCGAGGAGAGGAGAACCTGGCTGGATGGAGGCCTCGGAGCGACAGCCTCATCCTCGATCACCAGTGGGAGCTGGAGAAACTCAGCTTACTGCAGGAGGTGAGTCTACAGACAGAAAAGTAACGAATAGATCAGCAGGGAAATGTTTTTAGTGGAATGGATGCAGTTTATTATATTATTTGCCTCAAAACAAAACTATTAACTACTAAAATCCTCAAGGAAGACAAAATCTGTGAGACCTTGAGATACAGTGTTTTTCGCTCGACATTGATGAAAAGATGTATTGCTCGTTGCTTGTGTTTATAGGTGGAGAAGACCAGGCACTATCTGCTGCTGAGGGAGAAGCTGGAGGCCACTCTGCAGGCGGGACAGGATGCGCTGTACAAGAGCAGTGACATCAGCGACTTCGCAAAGAGTCCTGTCCTCAGCCACAGTCCCAGCAGCAGCCCCGCCCTCGATAGCCCCAACCAGAGGCAGAGGGAGCTGGCTGCCAAGGTGACTGCTGCTCATTTTAGCTCATCTGTTGTTTCAATGACTACGTTCAACATCATCTAAAACTAAAAATCTGTTGTTGTTTTCTTCTTCTCAGTGTTTGCGTCTGCTGATGCACACCTTCAACAGGGAGTACAGCCAGGTGAGCAGCAGTGCCAGTGAGAGCAAGGTGAGCCCCAGCTTAGGCCCCGTAACCCGGCCCGATAATCCCTCTGAACCTCAACGTTTACACTTTATTATTAAAGCCCCGCACTTGACCCATTCTCTGCCACTGCATTAAATCATTCAATCATTTGTTCAGCACAGACTTTTATCTCTTTTTAATTTTCTCTTCCCATCTAATTTCATTTGCCTCAGTTCTTTTAAGCATATGATTTCGGTCTTTATAGCCATGCAGTAGACATGCATCAAATATTATTCACTAATATTATCTGTAGGATCCAGCTGAATGAGATATGTCAGATATGATTATCATACAAGAAACTTTTATATCTCAGCGTCGGTGACATCTAGTGGCCAGAGGCATTATCAGTTGTCCGTCGGTCCCTCCCTCTCATGTGAACACAATATCTCCCAAAAACGTCTTTCGGGAAATTCTTCAAATTTGTTACAGATGTTCAGTTAGGCTCAGGTATGAACTGATAAGATCATGGTGCTCTAGGCTCAAAGTTCAAGGTCACTGTAACTTCACACTACACATTGTTAACCTGTTATCCCAGGACTCCAAGGAATCCATTGAAATTTGGTACAAACATTCACTTACACTCACACATGTAGAGATTAGAATTTGGAGGTCAAGGGTCAAAGGTCAAGATCACTGTTACCTTACAAACCCCTTGTTATGCTTTGTGAAACCATTTTCTCAAGAATTCACTTAGACCCAATGATGAACTGATCAGATTTGGTTGGTCAAGGTGACAGTTGTCCGACACAACTAGTTTTTGGCCTCTTGAACATATTAAATCTGCCTCTTGGTGTCTACTGTTTAGACAGAAAGTGCACTGGTTCTCGGAGGCTTACAACCGCAAGGCGATAATTCTAGTTTTCAGGATAATATTGACCGTGGTCTCCTGCTTAATTCTTTCCTCTAAAATCCATTTGTATCTTTTAATCATCCCTGAGAATGGTTTAGTTTCATCTTCTTTTTCACCTGACCTCATTTGTAAATGTCCCTCCTCCTCTGAGACTGCGAGGCTCCCGCTAACCTGATCTTACTCCTGCATGTCATCTTTAATATGTTAATCAATGAGGGGCTCTTAGACATAATGAGGATTTGTGTTACAGTGGTACAGAGATTCTACAATACATTGCCAGAACAGGACAATTTGTCTGATTGAGTTGTTTTCTGAATGCATGTCTATGTTGTTTGTGCTTAATTGTTTGCCTGTATGTTTTGTCTGTGTCTGTATTTGTCCCTCTTGTCATGTGTGTGTTTCGCCATGCTTGTTGTGTGTGTACATGTGTGCGCGTGTTTTAGCTCTCTGAGATGTCTGCATCACTAATGAGGGAGTCGTCATCTGGACTGAGCACGCTCACTCCATCCTCTACCTGCCCGTCACTGGTCGAGGGACACTATGACATTAGGTATGTAACTATATATTCTTACTGTCAGTATGACTTTAATTCAATGTGTTGGTAAATATTTGATCCATAACTCTAAAGGTTCCCGAGTGAATTTCATGGTTGACGTCGACTGAGTTGTTCATTAAGATGGACATGTCTCCACTTCCTCCCACTATTTGGAAATGAAGCTAAAATATCCAAATTCATACATTTGTGCAAAGAATTTGTGGTCTGAAACTTTGTTTGAACCCTAATTTCTTGTTTGTCAAACTACAAATTTGTTTTTTGAAGACATACTGAACCAGGTTCAGGAGCATCCACTCCAGATCTGGACCCGTACAGCCCAGTGGACAGAAAGAAAGCTCTCAGAGGATACAGCTTTGTGCCTGACATACAGGAGATTCGCGTCAGGTCTGACAACACATATCATACTGAACTGTTTTCACTTGGGGAATAAACATGATGAAGAAGAGTTGTGATCAATATTTATTCAGTTTGTTTCAAAGTTTGTTTTTCTTTCATACTATGTAGCCCCATCGTGTCAAAGAAGGGCTACCTGCACTTCCTGGAGCCCCACACCAGTGGCTGGGTGAAGCGCTACGTGGTGGTGCGCCGGCCCTACGTCTACCTGTACCGCAGCGAGAGGGACAGTGTTGAGAGAGCTGTCATCAACCTGTCGTCTGCAAAGGTGGAATACAGCGAAGACAAACAAACCTTACTGCGGGTACGACCCAGCTTAAATTAAACCCTAATACAGATTTATCTTTAAGATAATAAACAGCTAACTAGCTAACCTGAATACATTTTAGTAACCCCTGCGTGTTCAATATCTCTAGACTCCCAACACGTTTGCTGTGTGCACCGAGCATCGTGGGATACTGCTGCAGGCCACCAATGACAAAGAGATGCATGACTGGCTGTATGCTTTCAACCCTCTGTTAGCTGGCACCATCAGGTGGGTGGAGAAGTAACTGTCGAGGAGAAATCCAACAGAAGAGCAACATAGATGAGCTGTTTGCTGTTGGTTAAACACGTTTGAAATAAGTGCTTCATGCTTTAACAGGTCCCATGTTTAGAGAGAAACAGATGTACACAATGTAGCTGTTTTCAGACATGCACAGAACTACAAACATTTTCCTGATATTTCCAGAGGGGCTGACATTTTCCAGAACTTTTTTTGCCAGCCCCCCAGTAAAATGTCTAAATTTTTTCCAAGAAACTTCTGAGGAAATAATTAAAAAATAATACAGCTTATTATTAACTTTTATCTTACTCTCCTATTTGCACTTTTTTGTTGATCTCCTCTCCTCAGGTCAAAGCTCTCCCGGAGAAAGTCGGTCCAGTCGGTCCCATCTGCACAGAGGATGTGAGAGGTGAACCAGCCTGGTGGAAACCTACACAAAAAAAAGAATACAATCTATAAGCTCCGCTCTACATCCTGCTCCAATGAACATTGACCATATAAACAAACTTATACATAAAACCAATTACATTGCTCTCTATGTGACATCACTGTCGCTCATCTCAAACCCCAGCGAAACACCTCTTCCCTCTTTTTGCAGTCGACACCTCAGACCCTGCATGGTGTGCTCCCTCCTGACCGTTAGAAATATACATAACAAACACTAATCACCCAAACGTGTCAGTTATCTTACCCCTGCTGGGCTTTTGGACAAGTTCTGATTAGTTTTCATATACATTTAGAAATCAGTCTCCTGCGAGGCCACCCAGTCCCTGTTGAAAGTTACTATGTGCTCTGAACATAAGTCCCAGTTGTAAAAACCAGCCATTCATGTATTTCTACTTAACGACATTAGGTGAGGGGGGGTAAATAATAATAATAGAAAAAAACACCAAACTGGATGTTACTCTGTGTAGATGTGTGTCAAGTGCAGGGAACATCAGCTCCACATCCATCATTCAAATACTGCACATTACCTCAGCTTGGTGCTCTATGATGTAGAGTATTTGTTTCAAAAAACAGATGAGTCATTTAAACACTGAAGTAGCATGAGGAGGGATTTGTTAGGACAAAGGGGTAAGCTGTATCTGTTGTTTTTTTTCTTTTTAAACTAGTTCAACTGAGCTTGTTGGCCAGATTGAGGCAGAAAATAACCCAGGAGAGATAACTCATGTCCTCGCCTTGTTCTTGATATTTTCTTCTCATTTAACATAACCCCCTTGTTCATATATTTATATATATATATATAGCTACAGCAGAATATTATTTATTGTTGCTATCATAGGTTCTCTGCACTGTTATTTATTTGTGACAGGATCACTGACCAGTTTTGTTTCATGGCACTTTATTATCGTTATAATGTCTTGTATCATTCACTCACTTGTTTTAACCAAAGTATTTTTTTTCTTTTTCTACTTGTTCCAAATGTTGTTGACTTTGCAGTTGTGTCAGCAAAAACTGTTTATGAGAATAACTTCGAAATTTTGAGAAATATTTTTATTTGCTTTCTTGCTGAGAAAGATAAGAAGATCGATGCTACTCTGTGGTCTGCATGCTTAAAATGAGGCTAGCCACCAGCAGTCAGTTAGCCTAGCTTAGCTTAGCCAAGACTGGAAGTAATATGTAACATCTGCCTGCCAATAGGCTACTTCTAAAACAATAATTCACATGTTCTCAAGTTAGTTTGATACATAAACTGATCTGTAAACTTGACAAATTGAGTTGAGTTGAAATTTTGAGAAATATTCGCATTTGCTATTTTGCTGGAAATCTAATAAGATCGATGCAACTCTGTGGTCTGAAAGCTAAAAATGTAACTAGCCCAAGCAGTCTGTTAGTTCAGTTTATCTCATCTTGACTTATTTTATCTTAGCAAAGACTGGAAGCAATATATAACAATATCTATCTGCTGGTACTTCTGAACTCGCCGATTCACTGTTTCTTGTCAGTTTCACACATAAACAGATTTATTTCCTGGATTATTTCTTAGCCGTGTGCAAAAGAAGGGACAACGTACCAAGTGTCCTTCCCTCATGGAACACTGGTTATGCACGTAACCTCTAGATTTTCTTATTTAGCCTCTCGCAATAAAGCAAATGAGCGTATTCTTCTGAAAGCTGAACTTTTTTCTTTAAACTAATCAGTTATATCCAAATTGAACAACTGTATTGTATGTGTGTGGTTACATTTTTATCTCATGAGCACTTATTCAGTCCGCTATGGGCCGGCAGAGTTGTTACGTTAAATACGTTTACTATTTACGTCTACTCTAGTAGCTAAATGGAAAGTTTGAAATGATCCTGGACCTGTAATCTGTTGAGGACAGTTGCTTTGAGTGGGCAAGAGCTTTGCCCATCCACCAGATAGTGCCTCCCTTTCTTCACCTCTTTTTATTCTCTCCCTTCCTCATCACTGTCTTTGACATCAACACTGAAGTTAGTTACATGTGGCTGGGAGTGAGCTTTAAGGTTGAGTTATAGTAGATGCTATGGATCTTTTTTTACATCGGTGTCAATGTTTTGGAGAGTGAATATTATCAATGATGCTTTATAGTTTGTTGGTACAGTGACAGTACAGCATATGTCTCATTATCATTGACTATAAATGTTGCATTTAAAAGGAAATCCCCTCTTAGCTTAAGTACTGTAGGCGCTATATATATATGAGAGCCTGGTGTTGTGTCAGAAACCAGTACAGTATGATTAGCTTTGGTGTTGCTATGATTTTTGTTTCAGTTTTTTTGCACTGTACCAAGATGACCCCGAATGTTGGTCTATCTATTTATTTTGTTGCTAGAAAGATTATTTACATTACGTTATACTGTGTATATTTTTGTATTATTTGCATTTAAAGGAATATTATCCATATCTGCTCACGCTGGAGAGGAACATCTTATATGTTGGTAAATATTACACCAAAGACATGGTCAGCCAACCATTTGGTCTCATTTTCCTGTGATCCGTTTAATGTCAGAAGAATCAACAGAAAGTATTTAGGACTCTTTATGCCACAGGCCAGACAACCTGTTGAGCAAGAGAACCTAATACTTTATAAATCTGCTCAAAATCTGACAATGCAAAAGTTGTACATCACATTTCACTTTATATTGGTTGCTACTTGTTGTACTTCATATTCTTTCTTTGAGCTGATTTCAGTGTGTTGGGTCACCTTGGTATAATCAACTCGTTTGCTAACATGCTTACTAATTTATCATGTATGCTGTCTGCTGGAACAGAAGACAAATGGAAAGTTTTATTTATAAAGTTTTAAAGGATAGAAGATGTTTTTATGATATATTGCACTTCATGCACAAAGCATCTTTATTTAATATGATTTCATATGATGATGTTTTAAGAATGTATAGAAAAAACTGGGTTTGGCTGAAAAATATTATGGCCTGTATTGAAAGGAGAAGAGTAGATGAAACTGTAACGGTGCCATTTTCGCCTCAACGGGTAAACAACCAACAACACTGCACCAAATTGCATTGATTTTTTTTGTTGTTTACGACTGGCAGATGATGCAGTGGTTCCAGCACTTAATAGTTTAAAGGTATCATGTTAAGGAATAACACTTTATATGACAGTTTTAGTACACTGGCCAATAATTGTTCAAAGTTAAATTAATAGATTATTTCATATTTGGCTGCTTTTTGAGTATCATCTGGATCGAAGCATGCAGGTCCACTTATCTCCTGCTGTACTCTGTCCCTCTCTCCTGCCTTACTGCTTGCTAATGACAACAGCCCCCCCCCCCCTCCCTGAAGTGCTGCTTGTAAAGTATTGTCATTCATGATCCCTGTAATGACTAACTGGAAACCTTCCTCTTGGCTCTGTCTTGTATATAAATCGAGAATTTCTGTGTTGGGTCTCATCGCACAGATGATATTAACTCTCTCTCTTCCTCTGTATACCATGATGAATAAGAATAACTGGCCTGATGCTTCGTCTTTGTCACCCTAGAGTAGAGTGCCGATCAGGGATCTGTTTTTTGCACATGCAGCTTGGTGTGGATGAGATGGTCATTGTGGAGCGGGTAGATGATCCCAGGTCTGCACTCTCTGTGCTCTGAGCTGATTGACAGAAGCAATAGCAGGTCCCAGCCTGTGATGAAGTCTTAATCTCAGTGCTCACGTTTATCTTTTGAGTGTTCTAGAGTTTTTTCTCATGTCTGTGGACACGTAACAAAAGTTGTGAAGATTAAAAAAAAAGGTGAAATAAATAAATGAGTGTTGAAACTTATGCATCATTTTAATGTCATGTGTCTCATTGTTACCCACTTATATAGAGATCCATCACAGTAAACCTCATACAACAGAATGGATGGAAAAGTAAATGATGCCCATGTCAATCGTTGATTACCTTGATTAAACATTTAAATCATCTTTTAGATGTGACTTACAATGATATTGCCTGATACGACCGACCAAACTACACATATTCTGAGCCTGAACATGTACAAAAAATAAAATCTATAAAATTATAAAATCAAAATTTACTGCCCAAATCCGGCTGCAATCTTTAGTGATTTTTCATAACAATATCAACTGAATATTTGTTTTTTTTAGGCCTATGCAGTTAAGTAAACGACTGATGATAATGTCTTCATCTTGAATTTGAATGACATCACATTATATTTCCTGATGGAAACATGTAAATAAAGCTTGTCTTTCCTGCCCAAACTCATCATGTTTAACAGGAGAAAAACGGTTATTAAACATAACCCCAACAAAACAGAAGGAATGTGTAATGCAATGTTCTTTTCATGTCTGCTGTGCTCAGACATGAGCACAGTAGACGTGTGTGTGTGTGTGTGTGTGTGTGTGTGTGTGTGTGTGTGTGTGTGAGTGATGCGTCTGTACAGCCTTCCATTATTGATTATGTACTCACATGTACTCTGCTGCAGCAGGGGCCAGTCCAACTAATCCTTGAAGAACAGAGGCAGAAATACTGGGCTTGACACAAAAGGCCCCTGACTGAGTGAGTTGCAGCTGCCACCTCCCATCAGGCCCTGGGGTACAGTCTATGGTTACACCAGACCACTGACGAACAATAAGTTTGGTCAGATACTGTCTGCCTTTTCTTTGGAATGTTCAACTGATTCACAGAAATATAGAAATCAGTCACATTGTCCCCTAAGCAGGAGTTTGGACTCTAGAAATGTCACACACACACACACACACACACACACACACACACACACACACACACATACACACAACCTTGTAATTCTAATTGGCTTACTTACCCAAACCTTAGCAATCACAACTAAATGCCTCACCCTAATCCTTACCTTAACCCTAACCTAAACCTAGTTATAACCCTAACCCCAAAATCAAGTCCTAACCCTGAAACACCCCAATGGAAGTGGGTCAGGAAATGAAGACTGACATCACTTTCCCAGAAAGTCCTCACCTCGTAAGTAGTAGGCTCAAAGTGATCTTCACAAAGATATCTGTATTCAGCTGAATAGGACGGAGTTCTCAACACCACAATGTGATGCAGAAGTCTGACAAAGAGGAGTTCACTCACCATTTATGATACACTAGTCTTACAACTATTGTCAGACAGAGGAAACACTTTGATTCTTCCATTAACGCAACAGGTACTCCTATTTGTGCAGTCAGTACTGGATCATCGCCAGCTTTGTTAGTTGCAAGGTTCATGGAGTAGAAAGATATTACATAAAAGGTATAGCAGACAGTTAAACATTTCGTTACAATAAGGACACTGCAATGACTTCCATTTATTGTCTAACCAAAACCTTAACCCCTAACCTTAACCATTGCCAATCCATACTTAACCAGGATTCTGCAGTGTGCCGCTCTCTGCCCTTTTGTCTATTGTCTGTGTGGCTGTAAACCAGGGCTTGTCTTCATGTCTCTCGACTTCCTGGAGCTCTGGAGCCTTCCCAACTCTTGATCAGTGAACCTGCTTCCAATCATCTCCACAATATAAAGACCCTGGCTCTACACGCCATCTTTGGCAGATCGTGCGATTATTCACTTCTGCCCTGGTTCAATCTCCTTTCCTGGGATCCTCCCTGAAGACAACCTTGCTCTGATCCCTCCGGTTCAGCTCATTCACTTTTGTAACCTTTTGGAGTTTTATGTGTTAACAGACACAATATCATTTTTGGAACTGCTACTTCTGCCTCTGTGTTTTGTGTCCTTAGACCGGGTCCAGTTTCTTGTTGCACTCACAACGGCTTTTGTCCCCATGAAGTGTACTGGTCCTGAGTAGCTCAATACTGGAAAAGGTTCAAAGAGGTAACAAAAACGAGAACACACACACACATGTCCTCTCCTCCATATGTTCACTGTGCTATAGTTCTATACTTCCCGGTGCAGGTCACCCTATCCAACATGTTTAATTATGCACACTAAGAAGGACCCCCATCCGAGGTTTGGGTCCTGGTAGTGCTGCTCCTTGGTCTTACTGTTTATTTGCTGCTCCACAGTGAAGAGGCAGACAACACCTTCTGTATCGTTTACCTCTTTATATGAACCTTTTTCAGCATCAAGTATTATTTTGGCAAACCATACTGTAAGTACTGTGTTTAGCTTGGTTTAAACATGTCGAATCTATTGAAAGATATATTGTATAGATGATAATAACAATTACAATAAGACAAAGATTTTGACTTGATGTTACAACCTTTTCCTACTTTTAAAAAAAGGATATACACCTAATTCTGACATTTGTATTTTGGACTGGTGACATTTGACACTTACCATCTTGCTAAGTTTAATTGAGATCAAATAAAATTAAATTTTTGAGGGTCGGGGCAGAGATAGGGAGCAGAAATTAGTTACAGACAAAAAACATACAAACCACAGCCAGTAACAGACAAGGCAGTTTAATTTATAAAGCACATTTTATTCACAGAGGTGATTCAACAGTTAAAAACATGCACTAAATACAATACACAATTCAGCTTTCCTCAGTGATTGATTAGATGAAATATATTGTTTTTCATGATAATAGAAGTGGGTATAATGCACTTACAGATTTAATTTAATCAGAACACCGTAAATGTCAGCGTAGTATTTTAGCTATTGGCACTGAGCTTGTGAAAAAATACATCCAGCGAATCAGTCAGGTTACCTGAAGCAGGATATCAAGTCTCTCTGAACTGTACCACACTTTCTCCTGCTCTCTGTGGGGGCTACGCTACATTCATTGATGTTCACTGACATTCACCAACATCCACTGACGAGGGTCCAGTTTCACCACCTCTTGTTTGTGCTCCAAGTACTATAAGCTGTGGCCTCTGTTATTTATATTAACCCTGTGTGTGTGTGTGTGTGTGTGTGTNTGTGTGTGTGTGTGTGTGTGTGTGTGTGCGCACTGCATTTGGGGCTCTCAGTCACTTAGATGATTACCTTGGAGCGGTTTAATGCAGTGTGAGCTGTGTCACATTTCTCAGTCATGAACAGTTGTCTGGTTGTCTGGTTTGTCTGGTCTCTGTTCATGTTGCTCTTTGTTGTCGTTGTTTTGTGTCATTTTCAGAAAGTGGAGCTCCTGCTGCTGTGAATTAGCTGAGTCGACATGGAGAACAGCAAGGTGACCAGTCATCAGTGAAAGGAATCAAATTATAGACTTCCTTAGGCAACTTAGGAAAATGGGTGTTTGACTCCCATTATTAAAACGGTTTTCATTTTGTTCAGTGCTGAGAAAAGTTTACTTTTTGAATTATAATAATTACTGAAAATGAGCCATGGTTGATATTATTAGCTACAGCTTATTATTTTATGTAAGGTCAAAATCTTTGTTGTGACAAAGGTCTATGGCTAAAAATTAAATACCATCTCTGTGGAGGGTGAAGCCGCCTTTGATTTCATGTTCAAGAGGCCAAAACATGTTTTGTGGGGCCACCTTGACCTTTGACCCCCCAACATCTAATCAGTTAATCCAAGGGAACAATGATGGCAAATTTAAAAGGATTCTCTCAAGGCATTCCTGAGACGTTGCGTTCACAAAGGTCACAGTGACCTTGAACTTCTACCCCCGAGCTTTGACCACTATCTTCTAATGAGTTCCTCTGTGGGTCTAAGTGAACGTTTGCACCAAATTTGAAAGGAATCCCTGGAGGTCTGGAGATATCGTGTTCACAAGGCAACAAATGATTTGTGAGGCCACAGCGACCTTGACCTTTGACCGTAGATCACAAACGTCGAATCAGTTCATCCTTTGTGTCCCAAATTTCAAGAAATTCGTGTGCTCTTGAGATATCATGTCAAATAATTGGTACTGATGAATAAAAAATAATGGTTGCCAGCAAGAATAACAAACAAATTAAAAACAAAATTGAACATTTTCATCAAAGATAACAGCAAATTATATTTAAGATGGTTTTCTAATAGGAGCACCGTCACACCAGGTTTCCCCATATTGGCATATACCTTTTGGGTAAGTGCTCCTTTAAGTGTGACTCATGCCTGTGTGTGTGTGTGTGTATGTGTGTGTGTCCAGCAGCCAGTGAAAGAGGTGCTGCCCCTCCCTCGTCACCCCTCCTCCCCCCTTGCTCCCTCTTCCAAACACCCCACCATAGGCTCCATCCAGCATGTACAGCTGGCCTCCTCAGGTGATTTCACTTATGTGCCTTTCACAAGTACATTTAAACAGGTTTCAGCAATGTGGTTTAAACTATTACATATTAATACACTACTCATTTATTTAGAAATGGTATCCTTAAATTTATACTGGAAACCAATGTCTGTCATGTTGTATGTTTTTATTATTATTATTATTATTATCAAGCTACATTGACTGCCTGAATTAAATTAACTGGAAGTAAACCAGCACAAACCTAATATTTGTGTATATTTGACACACAACTGGTACCATTTTGTTGCAAAGTAACAAAAAAGAATTGAACTTTGACCTTTGTTTACAGTGGTGACGTCGTTCAACCACCTGAAGCCTCCAGAGAGGGATCTGACCCTCATGTCTCATATGAAGTCTATCAAGTCTCTGAAGCACGCTGGCTTCACTGCGGTCTTCACTGGACCAATGGTAATAAAAATAAGAACATAATAATAATAATTACTGAAATGGTCTCCGAACTGGATGTAGACTTATAACAAAGTTGAATGCACTTTTACACAATACACAATTTACTGTACATCCCTTGGCTTTGTAATCTAGTTCATATTTGCAGCTTATATTAAACTTTATTTCTTTTAAAAAACAAGCAAACAGAAAAAGCACAGGAATATGTAATGACATTTTGTCTCAACCTTTAGCCTACTGGCGTTTGATGTTAAGCTGTATATACTCTCGAATGTGGCTCCAGACGCAGCTCGCTCTCTGACTGTGTCTCACGTTGTTGAACGCCGACAGAGGCTTGAAAGTGAGGAGGTTTTAGAGGTGCCAAGCGTTGATGTGATCCTGGCTGACATCGACTCTCTGGTGCCCACGTACGACGAAGCCGGCCGCCCCATAGCAGAGTGGAAGCGACAGGTGATGGTGCGGCAGCTGCAGGTCAGGCTGCAGGATGATGAGGAACAAAGGAGACAGGTACTCTTCATCTGTACTTTTGTACTGTGTGCAGGGGCGGATCTAAAGAAAATTGCATGGGGACTTTAAGGGGTGGCACAAAATTCAACTTCTTTTTCTTGGACAAAAACATCATGTGCAGTGTGGCAAAGTCAGGTTGTGTCAGATAATTGGATTGTAAAGTGTGAGCACATAAACGTTAGTTTTAGCTTTACATCTCTGACGACTTACTCTTACAACGTGAGGTGGAATTTAACACATTTCTAAAGTCGCACCGTGTATGCCCACTTTAATACATGCAAAAAATAAATAAAATGTTGAACTATTCCTTTAGCTAAACCCCTTTTAAAATGTCTTCATCCCTCTAAACAGGACACAACTAATGGCTTCACAACAGTGGACGGCTGGAAGTATTCAGAGACCCACAATGCAGTCCTGGGGCCTTTCGGGGAGCTCCTGACTGAGGATGACCTGGTGTACCTGCAGCAGCAGATCGAGACTGTGTCCCTGCAGAAACACTGCCGGGCCTACGAGCTGGAGCTGACCCGGCTGACGGAGGAGCTGAGGGCCATTTTACCCGACCCCACTGTCAACATCTCTCTTAACAAAGAGGTTCTACAACAGGTGGACGCAGAGAACAAAATGCACCTGACTTTGCCCTTGTGGTGCAGTCGTGTTTCAGAGATTGTCAAGAGTATGTCTCTGCTGGTGGCCAACCTGAGCCAAACCACAGAATACAGTGGTGAGAAAAGAATAATGGAAGGGATGATGGAAGGGCTGCAGGGCGTAAAAGATGGTTCAGAGATTGATTTGGGCCAGGAATTCCTGCAGCAAGGCCAAGAGATGGTGCCAGCACATGTGGAGACCTCTGGTGGATGCAGGATACCTCAGATAGGTATGGCGTCTGCTTTTAGTCATCGTTTGGAGGCCAACAGCTACAGCAGAGCACGGAGAGAGAGGGTGGAGAGGGAGATCCAACAGTCTGGGGTGTCTGTAAGAAACCTCCGATCCAACTTTGAAGGTCAGATAGGTAGTATTTATCCCTTTGCTGGCGTTGCGAGTGGAGGCCACGGTGTGAAAAAACAGGCAGAGGTTGGGGCTTCTGGAGGAAATGACAGAGCAGATGGCAGCAGGGGAATCAGCTGTGATGTGAGCTATAGTGACGCTCCTAAAAAAGTCATACCTGTGATGGAGACTAGCAGCTTGAGGAAAGAGCGCATAGTGGTGCTGTTCCTGAGCCACTGGAAAAAATCTGCATACGCTATTTCAGTGAGGGCGGCGAGGCGGAGACACGAGCAGGAGGTGGAATCAGGGAGAGGGATGGCAGCACCGCCTTTAAAGAAAATCACGTCCATGTTTCAGTTCTGCCAACAGCGAGGAGCCGTGGACAAGATACTGAACACCTGGAGGAGTAAACCAGGACTCAAAGAGCGACCAAAGTCCTGTTCCTCCTCCTCTCAAATAACCTACTCCCCAGAGCAATTCCTGCCAGATGTGGACGGCGTTGCAGTGAGCCACGACAGCTTGACCCTTGACCTTTTCATGTTGGGATACTTCCGCATCTTAGAGCAAGAACTGTTGCCCGAGGAGAGGAAGATGAGGCACCTCCTCTGCTTCGAAGTCTTCGACCATGTCGGCGGGTTCCCCTGGGAGACGGTGAGGGACTTCCACAAGGCAGTCCTTCAGGAAATCCAGGCAGGGAGGCGGCAATGGAGCGACGGCTTCGAAGACATCAAAGTTTGCTTCTTTGGGGAATCAAGAGCATGTTACCGTGCATCATCTCCACCATCATCATTGTTGCCAGATTCCAGACTAGTACCCAAAGTTATAGTTCAATCTGCTTCTCCAGATGAGTGTAGCAGTGACACAGACGCTTCTTGTTTCAACAATGAAGACATTTGTAAATACATCGACCGCAGCTTTGCTTTCTGGAAGGAGAAGGAGGCCGAGCTGTTTGATTTTGAACATCAGTCTTGATGTTTTTTCACTAAATTCACTGATATTTAGCTGTGCTTCTTTTTGGGAAACTGGTGGAATCTGAATAAAGTGAAGTTGATCGATGTACTATTACTTAAAACAAACAATTTAATTCTACTGTAATCACAAACTGCTTTATACGATTTTAGAAAAATACAATATTCTCAGACACTATTAAGCTATGCTTTAATAGAAACATTGCTTTTTCAAAGAGCCTTTTCTAAAACCAAACAATATTCAGTTTACAATTTTATGACAAAGAAAGCTAGAGTCTTTAGATTCATTTTCTTTCATTTGATGAATTAAATTACCATTTTAGTTCTTTTTTACCATGTTAGACATTCCATCTCTAAGATATATATTAAGAGAGAGTTTTTATTACAATAGCAAATCAAAAATTTTGTAAAATATCAGTTATTACTGAAGGGTGGTGAGGACGTGGAAAATGCAAATAACCCAGAATGCCCACCAACCTTTATTTGCCTTAATATGAGTCTTTATTAGCTCATATCCCATCTTTGAAACTCTATGGTTTGCGGTCCAATAGAAAGGTGAGGGACAGAAATAGGTGAGGTCGCGCAGGCGCACAAGCGACCAGGGGCTGACAGGAGGATGCTGAGCTGCATTCCCATCATTCTGCGAGGAGAGGAGGATCCCAGCAGCGGAGGAGACGCGAAGCCACAAGAACACACTCACCTAAAGAATAATCCGAGTCGAGCTCTCTCATCTGCCACCATGTCAGCCGGAGGAGATCTAGGGAACCCCCTGAGGAAATTTAAACTGGTGTTTCTGGGCGAGCAGAGCGGTGAGTCAGTGGCTTGGGGATGGTTTCGGTTTTTGGGTGGTCCGTCCTCCTCTATAACGCCAAACATGCGCATCTTATATGTTTGCAGGCCGTGCATGCGATCGAGTTGATTTCTGAAAGTTTCTGGCTGGATCCAGAGGAGGTGCAGGCCGGCTCCTGGTGCTCCTGACGCCCATGTTGTCGCTCCTGGCACAAGATGTGACTGGAGAAAATTTGATTAACCAAGGAAGGGGGGGAAAAACCCCCAGCAAAGAATTAAAAAAAAACCTCACTAGATTGCAGATGGAATAAATACAACGCAATGATTCAAAATACAAAAACCGTGCGTGAAATCCTTGAGGAATATGTCGCAAATTGTGATGTTTCGCATCATAGCAGGGCGATGTGGTGTTTTGATGGTGCTGCAGTGACCGACAAATACGCACAGCCTGTCTCCACATAACAGCTTTATTCCACTTCCATCGCTTATTCCTCACACCGACAATCCCTCATCGCGTCTCACGCTGCAGTGTGTGGTGTTTTTATTCCAGCATTAGTGTTGTTTTTTTAGAGAGAAGATCATAAACAGTCCCCATGTGTCAGTTCGGGACACACCCAAAGCTGCCGGGCGATGTCGGTAGCATCTCCAAACCTCAGCCTCCACTTCGCTCCCATGAATAATCGAACAGGCTAAAAACGAGGTTTGACAGCACCACAGCTGTATTTGCTTTATATTCTATATAATCCATCTATTCTGGCTGGATGTGTGTGTGTGGGGTTTGGTGTGATGGCACAGATTAGGAGACGCTGATCGATAGTGGTTGAATACGTGTTCAGACATCAGATATCCAGAGTGGCAGCACAGGGGCTGGTGTCTCAATAAAATACAGCAGAATGAACATGACCAGGCCTTAATGTGACAGCAGCTTCACAGAGGTGTCTCACATTGGGGATGCTTCAGTGTGTGTGTGTGTGTGTGTGTGTGTGTGTGTGTGTGTGTCGACTGAAAGCCTCCATGTGTGTTTGTGTGGCCTGTATGCTGCAATGTTTCTGTCCATGGTGCTGAATCGTGGCCTGGCCACTGCCCCATCCCTGGCTGGCTTTAAAACTACATGTATGTACTGCTGTCTGCATATATAGAGGATCCTGCGTTAGGAGAAGTGCTGTCCACACTCATCATGTAGACCTGATGTAAAATGGTGCTAAAGACGGTGCTGGGTGGGATGTAAATAAAAATGGAGCCGAGTATGGGCTCACCTTGATCCTCGGAGGAGGCCCCGTCTGGCTTTGATAGAAATGAATGTCTGAAATCTTCATGTGTTTTGTATCCGTCTAGTCATTTTCTCCTCCATTCCAACTCATGCGTACTGTTCTTTTCCCAGTAACACCATTATCGTCACAATTAATTTATTCCATATTGGATTAATAGTTAGGGCCATTTATGGATATTTTTTGACATTGTGAAAATCTTAAGGGCTGCAGCTTGCATTTCTTTTCATTATTGATGAGGCCGATGAATATTCTTGTGATTAAATCGATTGTTTTTGCCCCACAGGATATCTGAAAATGAAATGCCTATAAGGTGACATCTTTAAATTGCTTGTTCTGTCAGATGAGCAGCGTAAAACCTCCAAGATCTCACATATAAGAAAAGAAAACAGGAAAATGCTCACATTTGAGAAGCTGGAACAAGGGGGGTGTTTGGCATTCGTGTTTTAGAAATGACATTAATGATTCATTGATTAACAAAAGAATTGCAGATTAAGTTAATTTAATTCCAAATTTCCATCTTTCTTTACCTGGGATGCTTTTCAATCACAATTTATCTTTTTCACCCCTGGAGAAATTTGTTTATCAGCGTTTACACCCTTGACTGAAATACAAATCAACATGTTTGCTCTGTTCTAGTGGGGAAAACATCTCTCATCACTAGATTCATGTACGACAGTTTCGACAACACATATCAGGTAAGATTCGGACCAGATCCAGAATTAAAAATGTATTTAGAAGAATTGAATGCATCATACGATGATAAATGTGGATAATTACTTGCATTTATCGTTTCTAAATATTTTATAAAGTGTAATTTTTCTGTTCTCAAATGTTCCATTTGAATAAAGGTGATTGAGGCGACTGACAGTACAGGTCTAAATTATGTGAAGCTTTTTATATCATAATGGTGACTACTGAGCAATGCTTCACTGATACACAAATTATAATCTGGGTCCATGTGAAATATGTTTTCATGCCCCAGTTTGAATGTTGTCAATGCATTCATCCAAATGAAGTAGTATTTCAGCAATATTAGATAGATAAGTCAGAATGATTGAGCACCAAGGGCAATGCAAATGAAATCCATTTTTCAGTCTAATTTGATTTCAGAGCTTATTTGCTTCTTATATTTTTGTTTTTATTTAACAACCTTCCCCAAGTGTTATTTTTTACTGATGATGATTCTTTTCTCCACCACAGGCGACCATCGGAATTGACTTCCTATCAAAGACGATGTACCTGGAGGACCGAACAGTAGGAAGCCTTTATTAAAATTCACATAAAGTTACACACACACACACACATATATATATATATATATATATATATAAGGATCAATGGAGTTGTACTTCTAATCAGTGGGTATGCTAAGTAAGAAATGGCCCAGTTTCCACTCTGTTTTGACTAATCCTTGATTTGATTTGCTTAATCACTGCTTTCCTCACACACTAACATGATTATGCTAAAGTTATTTATGATAGTAATAGCTAGAAATAACCTTTGGTGCTGCTTTGGCTTTTCTAGCCCTAAGAAGTCAAAGCCTTTTCCATGGATCATCCAGGCTGGTATTAATACGTTCTCTTTGTCAGGATATTATGTTCCGTCAGCCTGCACACAAGCTGATACTGGCTTATCCCTTTAGATGTGTACTTACCAGGCTTTGACATCTGTATAGTATACGCAGTATACGTAGTATGATATTGAATCAGCTGCTGAAGGTGTGTGTTTCCGTGTGTGTGTGTGGATGCAGGTAAGGCTCCAACTGTGGGATACAGCTGGACAGGAACGTTTCAGGAGCCTCATCCCGAGCTACATACGAGACTCTACAGTAGCTGTGGTCGTCTATGACATCACAAGTGAGCAGAAACCTACCTGCCTTGTGTTTACATGCATTGTACTGTAATGTCTGTTTATAATTGATCTAATATTTACAGAAGATCTCTCTCTGTCTGTATGTGGAACTTTTATCTGGAGAGCCGTTCATTTTATCACCTTCACACTTGGCATGTGTATTGTTAAGGGCCTAATGAAGGGCAGTGTTGAATTTGGTGCGATTTGAACTTGTGATAAGTTCAATAATAATGAACTCATCAGAATAAGTGACGTCGATCACGACAACAACACGTTCATGACAACAGACAAAAACTGATTCTCCAGTTCAGTGTTCTGTGTACTGAGTCGAGCTTTACTGAACTTTGAATAAACGGGTGAACAGCTCTTTATGCAGCGGCGGTGGTGCAGCTTCAGGGTTCTGAGTCCAGAGTCCTGCTGCCGGTCTTTACTTGCAGCAATTCCTGCAGGTCACTAACAATTTTTGAACGGGCACTGTTCAAAACAAATCAATGGATAAGCACCATTTGTTTAAGGCATTTTAATAATGCAAAGAAAATAATAAACTGAATATAAATTGAACTTCTGGTGTCCACAGATGTGAACTCCTTCCAGCAGACCTGCAAATGGATCGATGATGTCAGGACAGAGAGAGGAAGTGATGTCATCATCATGCTTGTCGGCAACAAAACAGATCTGGAAGAGAAGAGGTGAACATGACATTTAGTTACAGTAAATCTACTCTGTGATGTGGCGATGTTTGGTTTTAACCTGAGAAGAAAGCGTGTTGTTAAAAGCAACTTGTCAGTCTTGAATAATTAGCCTTCATTATCTTGATGCTGAGTCTGGCCTGATTTTTCTTTACTGCAGGCAAATCACGATCGAGGAAGGCGAGCAGAGAGCCAAAGAGCTGAACGTCATGTTCATCGAGACCAGTGCCAAAACAGGCTGCAATGTCAAACAGGTGACGCCTGCAGTTTCGCCATATTTCACAGCATTTTGGGCTTCAGTTGTTCTCAGATCAGCTGCTATCTCTCTGTGCGCCTCCAAGGTGACTGAGGCAACGTGGATTAATAAAGTGCATCAAATGTAAATATTCAACTCCGGGTCTGACCGAGCAATGCAAGCTCCCCAAAACAGTGCTGGGATCTAAATACATACATTTCCTTAAGTAGCTGTACTTATATTATATAAGTATATAAGTAATTCTTTTTCATGCTGCTTTATACTTTTGCTCCACACTTCTGATTAAAAATATGGCTACTATAGTTATGTCACCACTGGCCAGAAGTGAACTCCATCCATGTCAACATAAATATACATAAACTGCTAAATCATACAGTTTTAATTAAAATTAAGAGAAATCAACCAACGTCCCACAATAACATTTTTAAACTTGCTGTCCTCGTGCTTGTTCGCTCTCTCTTTCTCTTCTTTCTTCTTCTTTCTTTTTCTTCCCCCCTTCCCTCTCACTAGCTGTTTCGCCGGGTCGCAGCAGCCCTACCTGGAATGGAAAGCTTGGACGACGCAAATCCTGAAGGCAGTATCCTTTAAAGCGGCTGTGAGCCCGACGCTGTTTGGAGCCAAACAGCTGATTTTTAATCTCTTAGTGGTTGCTGGCACAATAACAGACAGAACGGCCCAGCCTACTGTCTACAGAGGCACGGGCCATTAAATCTTTTTTCATGCTTGATAGAGAAGAAATGCACCGTGCCAGGAAGACAGTGTGGATGCACAGGTGTAGCACCACATCGTGGTTGGATAGAAAAATGACATATTCTTTGGATATGTGATGGAGGATGGACAGGGACTGACTGAAAAGACACATACTGATCAAAACATTTAATTTAATTCATGACAAATAAGAAGTCTAAATGTGTGTTGTCAACTTTTGTCAGATAATGCCAAATGGGAATTTCTGACACCAATGATATTTCTCACATTTTTTTACCTGGTTTCTGCCTCATATACATCATCCAATACACAATATACTCTGCCAGTATTACCTGCATGCAGTACATCCATTTCATTGTGACGTTTTCTCACCACCTGACTTTTCCTTAACCGGACAATTCCCAGTGATCGACATCAAGCTGGACAAACCGGCAGAGCCCAGCGTCCCAGAGGGCGGGTGCTCATGTTAATGCAGAGCTGCTATCGGACAGCTCCCTTCACACCATAGGCTTGTTGTGTTGCTTACTACTGGTTAGCTTCCAGTTGACTTCTCTAATTGGATATAGGATCCGGGCCTTGTATCTGATTGGACAAATCAAATGTTATCTCTCAGTCTTGTTCAGTTGTAAAATATTGTATACTTTGTCAATATGTAAGTGACTGGCGGAGAAAAGGGAAGAAAAAAAAAACATTGACATGAAAATGAACAAAAAACTGTTTTGGAAAAATGAAAAAAGGGAGAAAAATGGAACAACCAACGGAGTTCTTTTCGCTGTTATGTTTTGTATTTTTTATATATAAAAGGGAAAGCACCAAAAATGATGCCTAAACATAGGAGGAGAAATGGTGGGGGCCGAACACGTCTGAATGTCTGCAGCACGCATGCACGCTGATCTGATCTTTGACCTTTGGCCTGCCCTCCAGGGTCTCTGCACTCTGGACGGAGGTTGACTATCTTAGAATGTTTTATAGCATCTCTCTATAGCATCTCATGACAAAAACGTATCTCATTTGATATTCCCACAAGAGTCAACTTCACCTGACCGTTCACCTAACAGTAGCTGTGAAAATGTGGCACTCTATCTCTCTATGGGTTTAACTTTTATAGAACAAACTGTACCGTGGTTTAAAAAAAAAAAAAGAAGTAATAAAAAGACAACTTACTATCACAACTCCCCCTCCCTCAAACCACTTCTCTCCTTCGCCTCCTTCTCCTCCTTTTATCCCTTTATCTCTCCCTCCAGCCTCCCCATCCCTCCACCCTGGTAATACACATATAACGATCCACTGTAATGCACTGCACTGTATATAATAATGTAATATGTATGTTGTGAACGTCCCTCTGTAGAAGTGGTCCTTGTTCACCAGTATGAATAATGTAATAATGTTTAACGATTAATAAATTACAAATTAAAGGGCTTCACTCTCCTAACCATCAACATTTACCTGGTAGCAACAGGGTCTGCTCTATTGGTCCTATCCTGATGCTATATATGGATAATACAGGGATTATATCATTTTTATTATCTACAGAATGTGATTAAAGAGGTCAGGGTTTGGTAAGGTTGTATCAGGGTTACATGTCTTTTTAATAAGACATTAATAGAACATCTCTGTAGACAGCATTAAAAGATTTAGCAGATTCTATGTGCATTCTACAGAGCATATCTCCGCTTGAAAGAGCTCAATCCTAATCTAAAAATGTACATGTTAGAGAAATATTAGAAGTGAAATAGAAAGAAAAGACACGTGAAGGCTTTAACTGAGCAGCATATATACAAACATTTTCCAATTGCTTTATTTAATCAAGAATAAGAAGATGAGTTGATCTCAAACTATTGAATTCCTAACTAGTGTTCGAATTCAAACTGATTAAGTGATGTGGTATCTAATTAAGAGCAGAGTGATGTTCATGTATGTGTCTTATTTCAACGCTTATGCTAAAGAAATGGAGCTGGTTAAATTGCAAAACTAATTTCGAAAGCTTAGCTTTGCAGAAGTCGGGTTACTTCGGATTTCCTTGGCAAAATTCTAACTTTTCATCTTCTTTGTTGTTCTTTTTGATGAGCAGAAGTTCCTTAATGAAGCCCTTAATGAGGGAACATTGCAAAGTCAGAATGATACTAGTCTAGAACTCCATGTGGTGAGTCAGTGTCTGAGAATCTGACAGTTCAGGGGAAGTTGCGGTGGAAAGAACCTTTTAAGAAGAGAACTGTCACTGATGCGTCAGGTGACTTACAAATAGCTCTCATGATGAAAGACGACAGGTATTCCCCTCAACTGATCGCACCTCGTCTGATCCCCTGAGGGTCCAACAGGCAGACAGAGGCAGTTGGCTGACAGATGAATTCCACAGAGACAAGCAGTCGAGGAGGTGAAACATTCTTTGTGGAGTATCTGGAAGTCTCAGCCAGTCAGTAAACAACACTGTACTATACTGGTAATGTCATTTGTGTGGATATGAATGTGTTGGTACGCATTAAATGAAAAAAGAAGAAAGTTGATATGAAAAAAGACATGAAAGATTGTCTTGAACACAGAGAATTCAGCATATCCCACTAATGGAGACATCATGAAGTAACGCACCCGTAGAGTGTTTCCTTCCCTGACAAAGACACACCCCCTAATAGCCAATCTACGACTTGTACGGTCTCTCTGCTTGGGGTCACTTTGCATCTCATTGAAACTCAAAGCGGATCATGTCCAGAGTGGAGGCTTTAAGGGACACAAACCTTCGCTCATTACTGAGGGAGTCGCGCACTGACATTGCCATGGCTGTGGACGACCCTTTCCCTCTTGTTTATGGTTTGGCAGACAAAAACATCATCACTGACCAAATGCTCAAGGTGAGGCATAGAAAAATTAGAAATTGTATTGGTATATGTAAGTGACAAATCTATTTACAAGCCTAGAATGTCTTCCAAGATTACAGCATGTGTGTGTAGAAATATTTGATTTTACTCACAGTATCTCTTTCTGTTTGTGCGGATCTGCAGGACACGCTAGAGAAGGAAAGGAAGGAAGGGATCCACAAGGCCATGTACTCGCTCCTGTCCTGGGTCCTGGAACAGAAACGATCTATCATCCAGGCCTTCTGGAGCAATATGACCAAGGACTACAACCTGGACAGCTACAGCAAGCTGAAGACACTGTTCTCCAACCTGCACTCCAGTATGTGGAGTTCAGAGAAGCTCACTAATGAAAATGCTGGTGAAATTTGTTTATCCCTCTATGTTATTTGTTCTAATGGAGATTATATGGAGAATATATTTCTGTGCATACTCTTATATTTAAATACATTTTCAAGTGGATTATGGACAAACCAGGGTCTGTTATTCTGAATGGTATTTTCGAAAGTAAAGTAATGAACATTTGATTCTGAAACCTTTAAGGTTGTTGTGTTTTCATCGCTGATTATGTCTGACAGAACGAGACACTGCAGGTTCCAGAGGTGAGAAGAGATCCCAGAGATGTGACAAAACTCCTCACGTGAAGAAGAGGAGCCACGAGGATAGAGAGACCAGCTCCAGCAAGATTTCACACTATCACGCAAAGACAAGCAATGGTCCAGGTTATTTCCCATCATACACCTGTTCTGTCTCTCTTTTCCAACAATATTTCACTGCAGCCCGTACTTTAAGATTAGGACATGGAGAGAAAAGAAAGAAACTTTTCAGGATGAATTGTTCTTTCTGTCAGTAAGTAGTCAGTAAGAATGAATTCTAACATTCAGTAAAAATATCTCTTGTGTTTTCCTGTTTCTTTCTCCAGGGGGTAAAGTGAAGTTATACAGAGTGAAGAGTGAAGCTCCAGCACCTCAGCTAACATCTGGAAATAGTAATTACCTCCAACGAGGACGTTATGTTTTCATCTGGGTTTGTTTGTTAGTTCGCACGATTATGAAAAAACCACTCAACTGATTTCCATGAAATGTTATGGAGGGGTGGGGCTTGACTCAAGGAAGAACCAATAGAAGTTCAGCGGGCTCAGGATTCACTTTCTTTAACATCACGAGATGGGGACTTTTTTTTCTTTTGACATTTTCATTAATTCAGGATAATTTGTGGATCTTTGTGTAAAAAAATCTGGCATATTTAGAGGTGATGTGGATGTGGTTTCATAAGGGGACTGTTGGAGGTATGAGCTCTACTGAGTGCCATTCTAGTTTAAAATGAATTGTAGTGAAAGCAAAAATACTTAGAAACATTTATTTCATAGTACAGATATATTTAACCAAACTTGTGCCACAGGTGTGCAGGTAGTGTCCTCCTCAGTCCAGGGAGGAGTCCCCCTCTCCTCCTCCTCCTCCTCCTCCTCCTCTACAGAGCTGCCAGTCAGCCATGAAGCCAGAGAAAAGATCCACATCAAGCAGGTGTTTGGTTCCGACGGTAAGCCATGAGTTGAAAATCATTATTTTAATCTTTTCCAAATATTGATATAACTGTTCTGCATCATCGGGACTGCAAACATACACATCTTTGTTAAAAACCATAAAAAAAATAGACTAATATGAATTTCCCTAAAATATGCAGAACTGAATTCATGGCTGTCATTCAACAGGGACCAGAAAGTGCATTAAAGAGGAGACCAGTGCAGCGCTCAAGTCCCAGGCTGCTGAGAGCACATTTCACCACAAGGGGGAGACAACCACAGGCATGGTAAAGGGTCTCGCTCCCTCACCTGGCTTCTCATCGGTCTGTATATATGTGTCTCGTATGTTCTGTATGTGTGTGTCTTTAGGTCCATTACAATGATGATGAGTGTGCAGTGTGTAAGGACGGAGGGGAGCTGCTCTGTTGTGACGGTTGTCCTCGAGCGTTACATCTGACCTGCCTCGACCCCCCACTCACGTCCATACCGAGGTTCAAACCCCTTAAACCTGTCTGTGTCTTTTATTTCAACATATCAGCATGTGACTGTATTTTTCAAAGATGCCTTTTATTCTTAAGTCCTTGCTCTGAAAAAGTTGCATGTTTTAATCTGCAGTGGCACCTGGCAGTGTGAGCGGTGCCGTGCAGTGAAAAGAGAGAAAGGCCAGCTTCCTTTACAAGTAAGGTCCCGACAGACAAATACTAGTTTACATGGGCTGTAAGTAAGTGTTTAGTCAAAGTGTTTGGTCAAAAAGCCCAGAGCTAAGAGTGTGTGGTGAGTAATGTCCCTCTGGTGCTCTTTAGTTTGGAGTTCCAAGAAGTTTAGACAGGTTGAAGGAATCTGAGGCACTAAAGGAGGTGTAAAGTTAAAGAGCCTCTAATATATCATTGAAACTTTGATCATTTCAACAGTAGAAACATGCCAACGCGTTTCAGGCCTACAGAAGGGCCGGCACAAAATGGCCGTCCTTGGGCTGAGGTAATTATTCCGACTTTGGTATGTTGGTGTTATTTGAAGCCAGAATGTGTAAAAACCTAGTTGCAGTAAAGAAAATGTTTTTATTTATGTTTTAGCGTTTAAAATAAACCTTGACACCTCTTTTTACAATATTTGCGTGTTAACGCTCGGCAAAGAAAAAGGATCAGTGACAAAAAGCTTCTGTTTAGAGCTGAATGTAAAATGATACTAATCGATTTATACTTTAAGTGATGACATCAGCCACTCGGGCACTCATATATCAAAACATTTGCCAACTTTCTGAATTGTTGTTCCAATTTAAAGGCGGCGTCCAGGCGGGAACTGATATTTCTGGTTAGTCTGACAAAGGCAAAACCAATCATTCCATGCACAACTTCTCAGAGCATCTGAGTATCAAGATAAAAAAAAACTGTAGCAAAAGGATATGATGCCTGAATAAACAATTATAGAAAAGAGAAGAAATCAATTTCCCATTTTAAACCTGGGCATTGTGCAGCTTTCAATGTTCATGTACAGAATGATTCCCTGAGTCTTTCTCCTTTTATTGAGGCTTCTACAAAGTTTCTGCCTGACATCTTTGGTGTCATCACCATGGTTAGCGTCTCCTTTTCACTTTAACCAGTTTTATTCAACTCTGCTTTATTTTGCCACAAATTACAAAGTTGCCTCGAGGGGCAAAATCCCATGACATGATATTACAAACGAATCTCTTTATTAGGAAACGATAATACTCAGCATTTTCTAACACTGACAAATCTATAAATAATTTGTATCACAGGCTCTCACGGCTCAGCCACAGCAAACAAACACCAACTCCTCCATAGACGTCTCCTTCTTCTCCTCTCTGTCGTCCTCCTCCCTCACAAGTGTCACAGCTTCTGTGAACGGACCCGCTGCCAGAAACCAGGTACAAACCTGATGATGCTCTGCTTGTTGCAGTCTTTTTTTTTTTTTTTTACTTTCACAATTTCTTTAGAACTCATTCAGCATTCTGTCTCGTTGTCTTCAGTGCTCAGGTCTGGACAGTGTGAGGGAGGTGTGTGGCGTGTGTCACCTCATGGGAGGAGACCTGACTCAGTGCCTCCAGTGTTTTGGGCGTTTCCATGCGCACTGTCTCTTCTCCAAGTGAGACATCCACTCATCTGTTATTTAGACATTTTTGAGGATTATAGAGGATGACAGAAACAAATACTAATCCCAGCATCATTGTGCTCATCCTAACCCTGTGAATGTCCTGTCGGTTCCTGTTTGTGCATTAAGGGTGTGTTCTGCAGCAGCCTATTACACAGTGTGTATATATGTGTTTATATGTCATTTGAAAAATATCTTACAAAGGGAAAGCTGAATCCATTTAATGCCACCATTTATTTCACTTTTTTATGTCTCTGTGTGGCATATTTTGTTCTTTTATTTGTGATCAAATGTTCTTTTCAGCTCTGTGTGATCTACAAATTGAAATCATTGGACAGTATTAGTATATTAAAGATATAATATTGCATGAAGAGCCTGTTTAATCAGTTTAAGTTGCCATATGAAAGGGTTCCTCTGTTATCCTCCTGTGTGTTTGAAATTACATATCGATTGACAGTAACATTATACACCACAGAGAACAGTCTGAGTCACTCCCTGTGTGTGTATGTGTGTGTTTGTGCGCGTGTTTGCCAGAGGGAGATCCATCTGCTCGTCCTGCTCCAGACCCTGGGGCAGCTCTGCAGAAAAAGAAGCTGAATCCAGAGGCTTACAGGTGGGTCTGCACATGTGGACACAAAGGGCGAGCTTGAAGAGTCTGGTGTCTGTGCACAAAATATATATAAACCTTCTCAGCAACATTTGAATATGTCTGAGTGTAATCTGGGTAATCTCTCCTGTGTGTGTGTGTGTGTGTGTGTGTGTGTGTGTGTGTGTGTGTGTGTCCAGCCCACCCCAGCGGTCCAACTCAGTTATGATCAGATCACCTCTGCCCCGGAGCCCATCCTCCATAAGGATGAACTGGACTCCATCCTGGGAGATGTGAGTGGGGGCTCAGTTTCACGTGGACTCAACACACGTAGACGACATACAAAGTGATCATGCGTGTCAGACACGAGAAGGCTGCTGCACTTCTTACCACCCGCAGCCCTGAGGACCAAACAATAACTGGCAGGGGGTGTTGTCATTAAATTGTTTGTGTTGATCCGAAACATGTGTTGCACAGATGTTAGATGTTAAGTGTATTACTTTTTTACATTATGTGTTGGGTTTCTTAGCCCAGATGAACTGACTCTTAAGACAAACGTTAAGGGTGGTAAAGATCATTGCTGTATGATGTAATTGTTTTTAATGACATCACACACACACACACACACACACACACACACACACACACACACACATTAACCATATGATGGATTTATGTGCTGGGACTGATCCTGCTGTCTCCCCCCTCACCCCTGATCTTTGTGTCTCAGCAGGGATCCATGGACGGCATCTTGCAGTGGGCTTTTCACAACATCTCCCGGCCTCTTCCAGACTCACAAGGGTGTTATCAGTGACGGGCAGACATGCGATCACAGGTGCAGCTATGAGCTCTCACCGTCTGAAGTAATAGTGTAAATCAACATTGATGGAGCAAAAATAATTGATTTAAAATAAGGCTGCACAATGTAAATCAAGCCAAAAGATCAGTATCAAATAACTGTTCAAACTCTACATCTGTAGAGTAAGAGTAAGTACTCAGATTATTGTAATTGTAGTCATTATTCATAATTCACAGTGTTTTCCTCTAAACCATTGTCTCTTGGCGTGTGTGATGACTGGATTAACCAGTTTCAGGACCAATCGCATCCATTGGAACATTTGACTTAGTGAAACCAGCTTTGCTAAAATAACACTTAATTTATGTGACTGTGGAAAATGATTTATTAGGAATATTCACCTTGTCAGATATTGATAAACTGAAGCTCTGAAAACTACATTTTGACAAGTATTGTAGTGAAGTAATACAAATTTGTATTTAATCAAAAACCTGTGAACCCGGAGCTTCCAAGGATCTGTCTGTTTCACCTGATTCATAATCCTTGATGTAAACCTTGTATCTGCTTTTTGGCTTAAACTTATTCATGGAATAGAAATAAATTGCAAAAGTCAACTGACTGTAGAATAAATACACTTTTAATTTGTCATTGCTCCAAGAGTGTGACTGTGCATTGGTTGTTTTTCATCTGTTTTCATGTGAGTGAGACTTTGTGTATACCTTCATGGAAAAACAACCACACATATGTACAGTGTTTGGGGAAAAAAGGACAATGCAAACTTCCACATGTGCACAAAGATGGTTTGTCTCTCTGTGTGGGTCTGCAGAAGAATTCAAATTCACACGTTCCACCAGATGGTTTCAATACAATGAAGTATGCACAAGGAGAAATGCCTCCGTTTAACAGGAATTCCTTGAAAACTATCACTTAGATGAGGAATGTTGTTTTTGTCATGGGATTCAAAAGTTTCAGCAGAGCTGCCAAAGGGATGGAGCTCGGCCAGGCAGTGTGCACATTTTTCTCCCCTCGGTATTTGGTTGCCATGGCTCCCGGCTCCTACAGGCCCAAAACAGAGGGATGAGAAACATGCTCGTTCCAGTGTGTGTGTGTGTATCTGTTTATTTACCAGTCCACTTTTCTTTAATCATTAAGGAATTGTCCTGCATGCTTGACTGCTCTGGGTCTGTTCAATGAAACATGACCAGCATCATCAGAGACAACAGTTTACTGTGCACCTACAGAGAAGACAAATCCGAGACAGTTTAATGCGATGAGATTAACAGATCATTAACAGAGCAGGTGTACATAGCAGCAAATTGGCACGTTAATCTCAGATTATAAACCGTAATTATTCTACATCCTGGCTGAGGGGGAAGATTTCTCATATTGTTTCCTCAACTGTGCAGGCTTCTCAACTCCTGCATCACTCTCACAAAAACAGACATTTCTTCTGTTTCTTGCTGCATACCACACGAGAGACCACATGGAAAAGATGATAAATGACCCCAAGATCCCACTCTGCTTTAAAAAGAGAGACAGAAAATAAAAAACACTTCTCACCACTAGGTGGCTCTGATCTGCGAATGATGCAATAGTTAAGCATTGTATTGAAGCATGAGTCTCAAGAAGTATTGCAGAAATAATAAGAGGAAGTATAGATGGGAATAACCAAGATTGCATCAGAGCAAGAAAAAGTGTCACAACTGTTTCCATCACAAATAACTTGTGAGATGAGGAAATTATGTTTGTGCTGGTAAAATAGTTAAATATTTTTACTCAAGTACTACTACTACTACAGTTTTAGGTACATGCACTTGTGTATTTCCATTTAAACTACTCTATACATCTATGTCCTTGCATTGCAGATTAAAATGTACATTATATTAACAGTATATAATTGACTTTAATCAGATACAGTATCAAAATGCTGCTTACATGTTAATTGATCCATACAAAAACCCAGACCAAATTTGAATGTGGCTACTGGTGGAGAAATGAGCGAAGAAAATGAAAACATGAACATACTTGAACATCAGTGCGAGCTAAGAAAAAAAAAGTACTTCATGTGTACTTTGAGTTTTCTGTTTGCTCCATATCCCATTCATCAACATGTAGGAGGTGGAATTTATGACCGCAGCCAGTCACCAGGTGCAGATGCTTTGGCTTCACTTTTAGGAAGCAGTCATGTCATCCATCTTTATATGCAGTCTGTGTTCTTGACCTGTACAATTTTTACAGTTTCTGTTATTTTAATTTATTTTGAAAGGGTGAGTATTTCTAAGATAACAGTTACATTTTTGGTCAGTGCATGAGACTTAACAATAATAACAGTAAAACGCTGTATATGTGTAGTTTTCTGCGTCAGTTAGTCATTGTGAAATCACAAGGTCAAATTCCTCAAACACTCACACACATCCTGTTCTGTAACGATTGGTCACATGCCTGTAATTCTTGTAAAAATATGATAGGTGAAATTCCCACGCTTTGGGCATCCTCTCCTTGCATTTCTTGGCACTTCATATCCGTAGGCAGTTTTCCACTTTGTCTTCCAACTGGGCTTCTGATGGGCTGAGGGTTTCCAGAAGAGGTGAAGCCAGCATGACTTCCAGTCAGGACCACTCACTCTCTCTTTAGACTTTTGTTGTAGGCAGGAAATTGCGAGGGGCCCTGTGTTGTTTGGGGTGAAGTTCCAGAGCAGAAAGTTTCATTTATTTAAACCGCTAAGTAATGACAGTGCTTGGCTCTGACACAAAGTTCGGACATTGTTTCCAGTGATAAAGCAAGATTTGTATGATCCTCTCTTGAAGCTTTACTTACTGATTTAGTTACTAAAGTGTATTTTGCTGATGATACTTTTGTGGGACTTTACTCTGAATATTTATTTATTCATCACTACTGCAGATGACAAGGTGACATGGCTTTGATGACAATATTGGAAGGTATTTGAGAAGAATTTTCCCAACAGCTCTGAGAGTGTAACCTCTGCCACTTTGATTTAGTGAGATGGTCCAGCTCCAACATTCCTGTGTTACATAAGAGAAGTCTGAGGTCAATAAAGTCTGAGATCATATTTGTGTTTCTGATCTCGCTGAAGTAGATCAGAACATACTGTTAGCTGGAGGTGCACACACACACACACACACGCACGCACGCACGCACGCACGCACGCACGCACGCACGCACGCACGCACACACACACACACACACACACACACACACACACACAGAGCTGTGTCGCAAGCTTTCTACCAAGAACCGTTCATTCTACGTCTGTAACTTGACACCAGGCTCAAGTCAAAAACAATGGTCACTTTGCTTCCCACTGACTCACACAGCTGAGACGCAGCACACACACAGAGTAACCGCAACACAATTTAATCTGACAAGACAGTGGCAGCTCCCCAGCATCCAACAATTTGTCTGGACATCTCCCTAATTTGAAGTGTTTTACAGCAGTTTATCAAAACTCATGAAGTCACGGGCCTGTGGTTTCCTCTTGTCTCTGTCTTGCTCTGGCCGTTAAGAGTAATTTGGTCAGAAGACAAAAATCTAAACGTCTGGTAGAGGAGAAGAAAACTCCTCTAAATCTCGCTGTTCCTCTGTGTGTCCCTAGAAGAGGCCGGATAATGATACGCTGGCAGGGCAGATTGCAGGGTTGCCATCCGTCTCAAACTGTAAACACAGCGGAGGAGGCTCATTAGGACATTCCAGAAAAGTCCTCAACTGGGAATTCTTGGAAGAGCTTCTCGCTGTTTGCATTCTTGCTTTGGGACGGCAGCGCGAACAGCGTCTCCTGTGATCACTGCCCTGTCCCCAGCGAGAATTATATGAGGGGGAATGAAGGCGAGCAGATGTTGAGCATTCCCCTGCACACAGGGAACTGCTCAGAGGGTTCAGACTATCATTTCAGATGTTATATGACCATCTGAGCTGTGCTACTTGTCCATCTTTTTTGTCTAGAAATCAGATTTCCTCACATAGTTTCACAGGGTTCACAGAATTTCAATGACATATTTACATTAATGCTACTGGAGTGTCATTCATTAATGCACACTATGAACCATAAATTAGCTAATATTATCCACTTCCTCCCGTGGTCATGGAGTGGAGTTGCAGAATCATGGTCCTGCCGGTACATGCACTCAACGACTCGCGAGTCAATCTCAGCTGTCGATCCTGACAATCCCTAAAACCAAAACAGAAACATCTTTGAGAAAAATATATATTTGATGTGTACTTTGTAACTTAAGTTTGGTCCCCTCCCATTCAATAACATGGAGGAGGCAGGGTTTATGACACTGATACTGCAGACAGCCACAAGGGGGCGATCAAAATGATGTGGCTTCAGTGTTTTGCACATTTACAGCTGACTTCAGCGCCCCCAAGTGCCCACATAAAAGAAATCAAATTAAAATATCATTATATTATTTATCTGGCTGTTAAACAATGTTGGATTTTACATTACAGAGGTGCATTCTGAAAACTGAATATGTTCAAGCAAACGAAGTGAGCCATGTCACTGGTAAAGAGTAGCTAAGATAACTCTGACGTGGATTATAACAATCTTCTCCAGAGTCACTCTGAATGAAAGATAATCAGTTGTTACAGCTGTTCGCTTAGTTTTGCGATAGAGGGCTGAATGAAATCTTGACACATTCACGACATCAGAACAAAGTTTGGGTCGGTTGTGTTCAGACGTCATTTAGGTGAAGATAAAGAATAATGTTTGGTCAAATGATAACACCGATCAGTGGCAGACATTAGGAACAATGAGATAATAGAGAGATATGTAATGATATTTAGTCAGCATCAAAAACATGCAACTGATTTTGTTTTCTACAAATATGAACGACACAGCTGATCCACTGACAGTTTTATTTATTTGGATCAGTGCACAATGTGACTTTTCAATAACTTTAAAGTGATTTTTTTTGATTTTGTATAATTGGCCATTTCAATTCATCTCAGACAAGAATAGATGTTTATCCCCTGCCCCCCCCCCCCTCCTTAAAAATAGACCGTCTGTGTATAATAAGACAATGATCTTCTTTAACGCAACACAATAGAGTCTTTGTGTGTCAGCGCGGGCCTTGAGTTGCAACCATTAACATATCTTGCAGCTGAATCATCACCACTTACGGGTAGTAACACCAAAGCTGAAAGTCATCTGTAAGATAATGGATTTTTCCAGTTGACACTTTAAGAAATTGTTTGATTTGCACAATAGACGTACAGCAAGCCAAGCAGAAAAACAAGCTGCCGCAGAGAGAGTTAGCTATTCAAAAACAAAACTGTCATGCTATGTGATCTTGTGAAAAGTAAAATGTTGCTATTTATTTTTTCAATTTCCTTATCTAGAAATTGTGGCAATTTCTTTTTAATCAATGAAATAAAGTTCCAGTATTTAAAAGAACAATTCATGCATCATCAATCATCATCTTCATCATCAATCATCATCATCATCAATAATAATAAAAAAGTAACCAGAAACAACTTAAATGAGTCGGGTCAGGTACTATCTGCAATGGTGGTGCTTCACGATGTCACCAAACTAGGTCTTTTGTTGTCGTTATTTTGATAGAGAGACCCCTAGTGGCCAAAGTTACAGTTATTGCATTTAAGTAATGAAATACAACTACTAAAGTT